CACCTTTAATCCTAGCCTTGGAGAGGCAGGCGGATCTACGTGAGTTCGAGGCCAGCCTGGTCTTCAAGTGCCAGGATAGGCTCCAAAGCTACTTAAAAGATTATTTTAAATATGTCTATGCGCGTGGTTGTGTGTCTGTGAGGGAAGATGCCCCAGAAAGGTGTCAGATCCCCTGGGGCTAGAATTATAGGCAGTTTTGAGGTGTTCAGTGTGTGTGCTGGGAACCGAATTCCTGCCCTTGGGAAGAACAGCACCTGCTCTTAACTGCTAAGCCATCTCGACAGCCCTCAATCCTCTTTCACTATTAAAAAAAATTGTTGAAGAAGCAGGGAGTGCCACGCCTTTAATCCCAGCACTCGGGAGGCAGTGACAGGCAGATCTCTGGTCTACAAAGCCAGTTCCAGGACAGCTAGGGGTACACAGAGAAGCCTTGTCCCAAAAACAAAACCAATAAATATTGGAGACCCCAAACAATTTCATGGTTTTGTTTTTCAGAGGCTTGCCAGGTAGCCTCCTGACCCCTCCCTTTCCCTATCAGTTTCTGCTGATCTGAGATTGATTATTATTGTATTCAAAAGTAGAACTTAAAAAAAATTAAATTTGGCCGGGCGTTGGTGGTGCACACCTTTAATCCCAGCACTCGGGAGGCAGAGGCAGGCGGATCTCTGAGTTCGAGACCAGCCTGGTCTACAAGAGCTAGTTCCAGGACAGCCTCCAATGCTACAGAGAAACCCTGTCTTGAGGAAAAATAAATAAATTTAAAAATATGCATTCATGTAGCTTAAAACCGAACTTGTTGTTTGTATATGTATGTTGTTTGTATATATATGTGACCACACAGATGTATTGGCACATATGTGGAGGTCAGAGGACAACTTTTAATCGGTTCTGTGCTTCCACCAGTCGGGTCCTGAGGTTCGAACGCGTGTCTAGAGGCTTGGGGGCAAGCATCTTAACCCACTGAGCCACTTGCTGGCCCCTAATTTAGTTAGTTTTTATCACTATTTTTCAGACAGGGTTTCTCTGTGTAGCCCTGGCTGTCCTGGAAATCACTCTGTAGACCAGGCTGACCTCGAACTCACAGAGATCCTCCTGCCTCTGCCTCCCAAGTGCTGGAACTAAAGCTGTGCATTGCCACCCACACCACCAGCAGCTGGCCCTTAAAGATCGAGTTTAAAAGAGCAGTCGTTTATTAGGATAACTAAGGGGTTTCAGATGCTGTTTAAAAAGGACAGCGAGCCTGAGAGAGAGAAGCATTAGCCACACAGCGAGGTCCTGTTTCTAAGACAAATAAATAAAACTTAGTGAGAAGACATTATCTCCTACTTTTGCCACACAGCTGGCAAGTTATAAGATTACATGCTAGACCTTTGGTCTATTGCAATGGCAGATGTCACAGATCAATGAAAAGCTCATTATACACTCATTTGAAAGAAGGTACAAAAGGTTGACAAAATTTTTCTTTTTTGATTTTGCTAGAGAGTCCAGGCCCTCCTGTATGATAGGTAAGCAGTCTACCACTGAGCCACACCCCCAGCCCCTCACTGGGGGGATTCTAGGCAGGAGCTCTACCACTGAGCCACGCCCCCATCCCCTCACTGGGGGATTCTAGGCAGGAGCTCTACCACTGAGCCATACTGCCTGCCCTTTTTATTTATTTTGAGACAATATCCTAGTAAGTTTTCCAGGCTGCCCTAGAAGTCTCTCTGAAGCCCAGGCTGGCCCTGAATTTGTGCTTATTAGACTCCCAGGTAGTTGGGATTACAGGCCTGTACCACCACGCCCGCTAGAACTGATAGTTTACTGTGATTTTGAAAATGCGCATGTCTTTAATCTCAGGAGGCAGAGCCCGGCAGATCTCTGTGAGTTCGAAGCTAGCCTGGTCTACACAGTAAGACCCTGTCTCTAAACAACAAAAATGAAAATGGCCTTGACTTGGTGGATACCTGAAAATGGTCTCAGAGACTCCCCCAGGGTATTTCAGAGCCCCTATACTTTATAAAAAAGTTCAAACGTGACCATGAAGGAAGGGGACAGCATTTGGGGTGGCAGCTACTTCTAGATGAAGGTAATGACGGAAGGGACTCAGAGAGAAAGCAAAACAGGGCTGGAGAGATGGCTCAGCTGTTAAAGGCTAGGCTCACAACCAAACATAGAAGAAAAGGCAAAACAGAGCTGGGTGTTGGTGGCCCACGCCTTTAATCCCAGCACTCGGGAGGCAGAGTCAGGTGGATCTCTGTGAGTTCAAGGACAGCCAGGGCTGTTACACAGAGAAATCCTGTCTTGAAAGCCCCCCCCAAAAAAAGGGTGTGGGGAGGGGGTGTACAAGACAGACCCTCGAGCTGGGTATTACGACGGCCACACCTGGCTTCCCAGCAAGTACAAGGTTTGGGCCATGTGAGATAATATTTAAGAACACTGAAGGGGACCGGTACTCAGGAGCTCCTTTGCAGAAGGAGAGAGACACGAGCCACTGAAGCATCTCTGTTTCTTTCGCTGCAGGTGTACTCTCCAGTGACTCCCGTGCCCACCATGGCCCCTCTCAACTCCTATATGACCTTGAACCCTCTCGGCTCTCCCTACCCTCCAGGAGGGCTTCAAGCCTCCCCGCTGCCCACAGGACCCCTGGCACCCCCGGCCCCGACAGCACCCCTGGGGCCCACCTTCCCAGGCCTGGGTGCCGGTGGCAACAGCGGGAGCGGTGCTCGCCAAGCCTCCCTACTCCTACATCTCTCTCATCACCATGGCCATCCAGCAGGCGCCAGGCAAGATGCTGACCCTGAGCGAGATCTACCAATGGATCATGGACCTCTTCCCGTACTACCGGGAGAACCAGCAACGTTGGCAGAACTCCATCCGCCACTCGCTGTCCTTCAATGACTGCTTCGTCAAG